GCTTTCTGCTCCTGTAAAGATTTACAGCCTCAGAAACCCTGTACAGGGTCGCTATGAGTCGGAACCGACTCCACGGCACATAACAACAACAACAAAGCACACTAAGGTAAAGGCTGGGATCAGGAACAAGGGGAACAAGATTGACACAGAAATAAGTGTATGTTTTCCTATACATATAACTGTATGTACGTATGCTATATATACAAGGGGATTCAAAAGTTTGTAGAATTCCATGATCTTTTCATTCTATTTTCCATGAACTTTTCGAAGCGCCCTCATATGTATGTATGTGCATATGTGTGTTAGGTATGCGTGACTGGGTATGCCTAGAAATACAGATGTACGTGTGCATACGTTTGTGCATATGTCATTAAGGACCTCCATCCTAAATGTTCCCACAAAAGGGCAGGAATGACAGCTTTAACCATTACCCTAGCCTTCCAGGTGAAATAGGAGTCCTATAGCAACTAAAGTGGCATGGCTAGAAAAATGAGTTAAGTAAGAAAGTGCATTTTTAGCTGGGGCAAGGCAAGTCTCCAGCTGCTTCCATAAAAGTGTAACTTTCTGTTGGCCTACCTCCCAGAGTAGGCTGTGAAACAGGATATGTAATTACTTGTCCAAGGAAAAGACAAAAAGGGACAGACAAGGTAGGAATGACAGGCTGTGACAACAGATGAGTAAAGAACAAATGAATCCCTGACTGTAGGCATGCTTCAACCCAGGGGAGGAGTTACAAATGAACAGAGAAGCCTCTCTGTTTCCCAACTCTTGCCTCTGACCTCTACTCCACAAGATCCTCCCTCCCCCTTTCCCACCCTCAATCCCATACTCACTGGATGCCGGATATCAGTGATGAGCAGGACAATGTCAGACATCTCTAAAACTCGCCACAGCTGCCTCCATATCTGAGATAGATAATGGTAGAAAAGAACCTGAGTCCAGAGTTCCCCTCCCTTCCAGATCAATTTGACCATGGGTCTCTGCACTTAACTCTCACACCTACTGTAGTCTCACCTCCAGATTGTGCTCAAAGTAGCTGAGTTTCTCAGAGGTATAAGCCCCGTGAATCTTCCCAAGATACTCCTGGAAGCTCCGTTCCTCCTGACTCATCAGTTGTTCTTTGGACATCTCATAGCTCCAAGGAGGACGTCGGGGAAAGTCCAGGACTGGAAAATCACAGAAAAGTTCAAATAAGTAAGACGAGAATTTTAGTACTCAAGGGTGCATCCCAGACCCCTCCTTCCTCCCTGACAGCTCTGACCCTTCCAAACTCACCTAGCCCATTTCCTGTCCTAAAGGTCCCGGGTGTTGATCTCTTACTCACCTGAGCCAGGCTGATACACCTCCCTGATGTCCAGTTCCAGCATCTCAGCACTAACAGGCAGTAGCACTTGCTCTCGAGCTGTCCTCTTTCTCCTCTCTACCTCTTCCCTGCTGTCCCGCTCAAAATGCAACCGGTATCTAAGGAGAAAGCGACCAGGCATCCAGCACAATACTGTGGCCACAAACTCCACTTTTTTTCTTTCTGGGCAAGCAACTTCCCAAAGCATTCCCTCCAGAGTCATTCAAATCTTCTCTTTCATCCTGCCTTCCTCAAAGGCCCTCATGCATGGATATTCAGCCTTCCCTAAGCTTTGCCCTGCTTCTAAAGCCAAACTCTCCATCCCCTCTAAAAGGAAGGACTGGGGCCAACTCTGGGCATCTTTCAAGCCTCCACCAGCAGCAGCCCACTTTCCCTCTCCACGTTCTGACTTCTGGGTGGGCGGGGAAGCACCACAACCACCCCTCCACCCACTCACCGATTTGGGTCGTAGCCTCGTGGGCCCAGCCCCTGGGAAGGCTGCTGGTTGAGCCTGCGGATATGATGGGTCACAGACTCCCCGTCTGAGGTATCGGTCTGCTCCTCCCGCCGCTCACGGCTCCCGCTGCGGCTATTGGAACTGGAGCGCAGCCCATCTTGAAGTCCTATGGGGAGGTGTTGGTTACGCCAACGCAGGACGGTTCTCAGGGGCCAGAAGACCCCCTCCCTATGCGACCTGGTTCTTCCTCATCCCACCCCACTTCTTTCAAGGCCTGATCCTCCCAAGCCAAGGACCCTCCCGGATGTGGGTGCGGGGGCTCACCCCTCCTCCAGGGAGCTGCGGGGATGGCGCCCCGTCCGAGATGGAAGGATTCCCCTCCCCCAATTCTCCATTCTTCCCCAGCCCTTCCAGATGTAGGGAGGTAAATATGGGGGAATCTCCATGGTCTTCGTGCTGATCGCCGCGCGCCCTTCCCTCCTCCCACGCCCCCCAGAGGTGCGGCGGGCACACCTCTCCTTCCAGATGTGCGGGAGCCCGAGCCCCGCCCCCTCCTCCCGCTCTCACACTGACCTCGCTTCCGCTCCCGCTTGTCCTGCAACTGCTTCTTCTTCTGCTTCACGCTGAAAGGCTTCTTCCTCGGCATGGCCCGGACCAGACACCTGGCCGGCCCTCCACCAAGCTCCCGCCGCCTCAACTGTCTCCCCTCCGGCAGCCCCCGCCGCAAGGGCCCGGGACCCTTGAGGGGCGGGGCTAGCCGGTGATGTCAGCGGGCGGGGCGAGCGTCTGGCCACGGCGGCCTGGATGGAAGGCAGACAAGAGGAAAGACAGTCACGTCCCTCCGGGAACGAGGCGAAAGGATGATGTCGAGTGAGCTACTCGTATATGAGAGCCAGTCACACCTAGAGAGCTCAGCCGCGGCAAGGAAGAAGGCGCGCGTGGGAGGATCGGGCTAACTTCGTCATGGGCGCTACCAACTCGTGTTCGGAAAAGGGGGGACGTGTGTCATCACTACCTTGCGCGCTGGCGAGAAGCTACCACTCACCTGGCGGGGGAGGCGGAGCAGAGGGCGGGTCCTATCACCTAGGGGAGAAGGGGGCGTAGACACGCAGAATACCAGCCCAGAGGTTTGACTTAAGTGGATAACCGAGAACGCGTCCCAAGAAAGAAGTCAGGTTGCTACAAACTAAGGGCAGGGACAGAGATCCTGAGGGGCGAGTAGTAGTCTGAAAAAAACTGGACACCGCTCCGCTGGGACCCAAATTCCTTGTGAGAATGATAAGGAGCAGGTTTACAGATCCGAAGTATTAGGCGCGGGCGAGGAGGGGAACCTATTACAGGACGGGGACTTTTGGAAGGAAAGCAGAAGGCACGAAATTTTGCCTGCAGCTGTTACCATAGTAACCAGAGACCGGATGTGGCGATTTTAGGATGCGACTGAGTTCGCTTCTTCGGCCTTTTGGCCGAGACCCTCTCGACTCTGGCACACTCCTTGGAAGGATTGTGGCATTTTCTCAGTGGCAGGGACGGAATGGAATGTCTAAACCTTTATTTTAAAAAAAGAAAAGACGCGGCAAAGAGAACTTTCTGCATTGTTTCCATGATGGCAAAGACGTGAAGATGGGGGCTGCAGCAAAGGATTCCCCCCACCCACCCAGCTTTCCGGAAGTGAAATGGCGGGAGTCTCAGCTTCACTGTCCACAGCCCCCCCGGAAGCGGAAACAGAATCCCAACCTGCCCCTTCCTCATTGCCCTCCAAATCCCTGTGTAGCCATTGCTGCAGCCACGATGCCGAAACGAAAGAAGCAGAATCAGCAGCACCAGCCTCCACCGCCGCAGCCCCCATTGCCAGAGCGTGAAGAGACTGGAGATGAGGACGACGGGAGTTCCATCGGTGAGGAGCTCGGGAGATACACATGCCTGTCAGCCTGTCTGGGGAGGGGCAGGGGTCTGGTAAAATGGGGAGGGAGCCCTCTAATGGAAGAAGGAAGGGTGTACGCGCTGGGAGAGGGGGCCTATCTGCATTGAAGTCCTGAATGAGGAGTTCTCACTGGAACTCTCAACCTTAATCCGACCCCGAAGGCTGGGAGGAGAGGATAAAGAGCCCGTGGGCGCAGCCGCAGAACTGCAGGGGAGAGGGGCTGAAGAGAAGTTATAGATTGAGGTGATTGATCATACTTTATGACCAGATTTTCTTGGGGGAGGTAGAATTGCAGCCTGCCCTAAACTGTTCTCTCCGAAAGGGGGCGGTGGGGGGGCGCCGGGAATACCTGAGATGTTTTGGATACCAACACTAACGGAAAGAGAAAGTTGGCGTTGCCCTCCCCGCTTCTCGCTTCTGGGTAAGGTGACGCTACTTTTTGCAAACCCTTACACAGCTTTGCAGAGGAAGGGCAGATAAGTGAGGTGAGAATTGGACAACACTTCCGAGAATATATGTGACGTTATTTTTGGGACTAAGCAATGTGTAATATAAGAAAAATATGTAAAAACAGGATCTTACGCCCTTTAGCCCATTCGGATGACCGTATTTTCCTGTCTGCTCTCAGGACCACCCAGCCTTCTGGGTACTCCCCCCATGGCCAATGGAAAGCCTGGTGACCCCAAGTCAGGTGAGGAGGGGAGCAAGGGAGGGAAGTAAACCCAGGAGGGACCTAAAATCAAATGACCATAAACAGAGAGATGTGGTGTGTTCATGGAATGGAAACTCAGTGTTATAAAAATGTCACCTCTCAAATTAATCTATAGATTCAGTGCATTCACAATCAGAATTTCTGTCCTTTTCTTGTGAAAATAAACATTTATATCTTTATAGGTCAGAGTCCTGGTGTGGCGCTATGGATTAATGCGCTGGCCTGCAAGGGCCGTGGTTCAAGCTCACCAGTGGCTCCTTGGAAACCTTATACAGGACTGCTATGGGGCAGAACCGACTTGAAGGCACTTAACAACAACAACAACAACGGGTCACAGTGAGAGAATGCAAGACAGTCTTGAAAAATAAAATAAGAGGGTTCTCTCTGAATATCAAGACTTACTGTAAGGCTACAGTAATTATGACAGTGTGATATTGACAGTGTGATATTAACACGGTGGTAGAACATGTCAGTAGAATAGCATAGACAGTTCAGAAACATGTCCATACATATGTTTGCTTATGATGAATGTGGCATTAAAAAAAAGTCTCTTTAGTGAATGGTGCTAGGTCAATTGTATATATTCATGGGGTGGGGGGTGGGGACGAAACTAGCTCTCTTAATCATTCCCATATATGAAAAGCAATTCCAAGTAGATTGTAGATCACTAAGAAAAGTCAAAGCGTAATTCCACTAAAGCATAACTGTTAATCACCAAGAACCACACATATACACTAACCATAGAAGAAAGATTGATAAGTTGAATTACACTAGAAAATAACAGAACTTATATGTATTAAATGACACCATGGTACAACTGGTTAAACGTCTGACTACAAGCCGAAAGGTTGACAGTTCCAAGCCACTCAAGGTGCCTGGGAAAATAGAACTAGCAACCTGCTTCCGAAAGGTCATAGCCTTGGAAACCCTGTGAAGCAGCTCTACCCTGTACACATAGCTCACCATAAATTAGATTGACTTAAGGGCAACTAAACAAAAAATCCAAAGGCAGCTATAGTGTGAGAAATGTGTGCAACATGTATAATCAGTGAAGAGCTCATACCCACGCCATAGTCGATTCTGACTCATAGCAACCCTCTACAGGTTTTTGCAAGCAACGTCCTGCAGAGCATCTGTTGGTATTGAGCCACTGACCTTGCAGTTAGCAACCCAACACGTAACCCACAGCACCACCCGGACTTCTTGAAAGAGCTCATAGTAGACTATATGTAAAGATTTCTTCCAGATAGTCTGCTAGAGAAATGGCAAAAGACTAAAACAGGCACCTCATAAAAAAGGAACTCTGAATGATCAGTAAAGGTGGACCAGTGTCCAACATTGGCCATCAAATACATGCAAGTTGTAAGCACATCACTTTTCACACTCACCATGGCTAAAGTGAAAAAAGACTGGCAAATAGCAAGTGTTGTCAAGGATATTGAAAAACTGCTAGTGGGAGTGCAAATTGGTATAACCACCCTAGAAAAGTTTGAGATTATCTAATAAACTAGAACATATACTAGGGGGCTTCAAAAAGTTCATGGAAAGATTCCATTGTCTTTCTGTTCCGTTTCCCATGAACTTTTTGAAGTCCCCTTGTACTACTCTATGACCCAGCAATTCCTCTGCTACGTATATACTCAACAGAAATGCATACATATGTGTGACAAAGACATGTATAAAAATGTTCATAGCAGCATTTTTTGTTATAGCCCCAAACTGGAAACCACCCACATGTCCACCACCAGTAGAATGGATAAATAAATTGTTGTATATGCATGCAATTGGATACTACACTACAATGAAAATGAGCGAACTACTGCTACAGGCAACCAACCTGGATGAGTCTCACAAACATGATGTTGAGCGAAAGAAGCCAGACACAAAAGAATGCAGACTGTATGATTCCATTTATGCAAAGTTCAAAAACAGGCAAAAACTAACCTATGGTGTTAGAAGTTAGCGTAGTGTTGCCCTTGGGAGGAGGGCGGGCAAGGGCACAAGGGGGATTTCTGAAGGGCTAAAAAATTCTATCGCTTCACCTGGGTGGAGATAACACAAGTGTGTTTACTTTGTGATAACAGAATAAAATTAAGATCAGGGATTTCTGCAGCAGTATTAAACTGGCCCTTAATTGCCTTTCTGTGTCTTTGTCTCTCTGCAGCTCTTCACAGAGGTCCTCCAGGATCAAGTGGACCATTGATTCCACCACTGTTGAGTCTCCCACCTCCTCCCCGGGGTAGAGGCCCAATGCGAAGAGGCCTAGGTCCCAGGTTCGGCCCATATGGTCGTGGTTGGTGGGGCATCAATGCTGAACCTCCTTTTCCAGGACCAGGTCATGGGTCCCCCCACAAAGAGCAGAGAAACCCTCGAAGGCTCAAAAGCTGGTCTCTCATCAAAAACACCTGTCCTCCTAAGGATGGACCCCAGGTTATGGAAGGTGAGCTCTACTTTTTTAATGCCCATCTGTGAGGCAACATACATGGGGTTTCTACCATGCCAGGAATCCAACTTGACAGCAACTGATTGGTGCTAACTATAAGGTGAGCAGTTCAAATCCACCAGCCACTGTGAGGGAAAAAGATGAGTTTTGTTTTGTTTTCTGCTCCCATATAGGTTTATAGCCTTGGGTCACTCTGAATCAGAACCAACTCAACAGCAGACAACCACCATGTTTAATACCCACCGCTCCCAGAGTGTTCCACTGTCAAGAATACCGATGACCATGCTTCTCCTTTATAGTTTTTTTTTTTTCCCTTGAAGTAATAGTGGCCTTGAATGTTTCTTTACCCAACGTAGACTACAATTCCAAAAATCTCTGGAAATGATAAGGAGTAGGCAATGTAACTTCCTGTTTCTTTTCTTACTCATTTTTTTAAACTAATTTTCACTCACAGACAAATCCAACCGTCCCGTCTGCCGACACTTTGCCAAAAAGGGCCACTGTCGATACGAAGACTTCTGTGCCTTCTACCACCCAGGCGTGAATGGCCCTCCTCTGTGAGACTGTGCCTTCCCATCCAGGCTGGAATACAGCCTCTGGAACCTAGCAGCTGTCATTTCCCTGTGGCCCTGTGATGGCTCCTCTGAGGCTCCCACACAACACCCTCAGTCAGTGACACACCCATCGTCATCCTCCACCTCCCCGTTTGGGTCCAGCGTTGTGTTTCTTCACTGATGTGCACTGTGCACTCTTCTGATCCGGCCTCAAGAGACTCACCTTGGAGACCCCATCTGTGCTTCCCTCAGCTGCCTCCCTCCCCATCCTCCTTACCATGTTGGTGCTGTTTCTCGTGCATCTGTCCACCCATACCCAATATTGCCCTCAACTCCTGAGAGCCCTGGAGCCATTTCCCTACCAGTCCTTTCTTATAGCTGTTTGTTTGAAGTTCTTTTTTATGTGACTCCCCTGCCCCCAATCTTGTCACCTACTCTGAAACTTACCAGGTTGCCTGACCTAGAGTCCCTGAGGTGAGAGATTGGTACGGAGTTACTCCCCTGGAAGGCCACTCTCCGGACTTTTGGATTTTGTAGTTCTGCGTCAGTAGCATGATCCCCATTGCTATGGTCTGTGACCACTGTGGTTTGTGAAATTGTGCATCCCCTCAGTAGCCTTTCTCAGTGTTTGTGGCATTTGTAGCTTCCCAACACTGGCATACTTGTTCTGCCGGAATAATAAGGCTCTTGGTGCCCTCAAGACTTTCCCCACCTCCCAATATGGGAGAATCATGAAACTTTCCAAGAGACTGCTTCCCTGATCCTTCCCATTCTTTTCCCAGTGTTGGTTTTCTGGGTCTGTCAGGCCCACAGAACATATTGTAAAGCCTCTGCAGGGCCCATTGTTGTTAGACTATGTCAATATGAGGCCACCAGCCCTTTCATTTGAATTCTGTGAATCTCCACCTGGCCTATATTCTGGAGGAACCTACACAGTACTGTTGCCCTCTTCTAACCCTCTTCCCCACCATCCCTGGCACTGGTTGTTTTCTGTGAAAACGGCAGTGAGCAGATGCAGTTTTGAACTGCTCTGAGGAAATGAGTCAGGAATTGTGTGGGCAAGAGGGAAAGATGAGAGCTGTTGGAAAACTGAGAGCGACTTTTTTTTTTTTTTTAAAGACATTTTTTTATATAAGTAATAAATGCAGTGGAAACAAGCATTTTCTTTAATAATCCCTGTGTTCCAGTCACCTCGAAGCACAGATGAGCTTATTCCTACTTGTGAGAGTCCATGCATTCTTCATTTAATTCACACACAGTGGTGATAATATCAAAGCTTCAGAGTCTTCTAGTCTAAAAGAATAGATTCCATCAACCAGACTCAGCTGCCTTGTGTTCAAGAGTAACATTTGGTAATGACTAAGTTTTCTTTTTAACAAATATTTGTAGAGTGCCTGTGAGCCAGGCAACATGTTAGGCACTAAAAAGAACAGAGCCAAAACAAGTGAATTTAAAATCTACAGGGGGATTGTAAACTGTTAAAAGTGCTGTGAAAGAGAGATGTGAAAGCAGTGTGTACTAAAGGGAGTCAGCAAAGGTCACAGATAAACGAGGTGAGATGGGAAAGAGCCGTCTCAGGACAGGTCTGTGATAAAATAGAGGAATTAAAGAAAGCAGGAAACAAGGCAAAGGCACAGAAGCTAGGTTGATCAGGGCCTTTTACAACATAGGATTTGGGTCTTTTTTTAAAATAAAAAAAAAAAACCCTGAAGTTTTAAGCAAATAAGTTGTGGAATAGAAAGACTTTTCAGTAAGATCAACTGATAATGTATGGAGAGGACTACCTTTGGAAGCAGAGGTTGGAAGCATCTTTTTATTCAGTTGTCCTGGTGGTAGCACAGGCCTGGCTAATGAACGTGAAGTTGGAGAAAAGTAAACATTTGTAAATGAGTAAAAATGATGTATTTTCAGTTTCTCAGGGTAGTTTTGGCTTGTGTAACTTGAGTGCCCTTTACACAGCAAGGTATCATTGGAAGAGAACAGGCAGAATGCTTTTAATTTTCTGTCTGAATTGCTGCATTAAACTGCCCTATAAGACATCTAAGATAGAAAGCCGAGTACTGTAGTCTAGTGTAGAGACATCAATTTAACTATGGTTGTTGAGGCCATGAGCATAGGTAACATTCAGTAAATGTTAAGCACCTACTATGAGCTCTGGTAGCGTAGTGGTTATGAATCGGCCTGTGAACCACAAGGTCAGCAGTTCGAAACTACCAGCTGCTCCGTGGGAGAAAGATGAGGCTTTCTGCTCCCGTAAAGATTTACAGCCTCGGAAACTCTGTTCAGGGTCGCTATGGGTCGGAACCGACTCGACGGCACTTAACAACAACAAATGTTACAATGTAGAGTGCCCTGGTGGCTGTAGAATAAGCAATAGACTACTAACCTCAAGGTTGGGAGTTCAAACCCATCAGCAGTCCATGTGAGAAAGATAAAGCTGGCTGTTCCCATAAAGATTTACAGTTTTAGAAACTTACATAGGACACCCTAGACAGGGTCACTGTGAGTCAGAATCTACTCCATGGCAGGAGTTTGATATGGGTATGTTTCAATGTATCAAGGTTACATGCAGCCAAAACAGAAAACCAAGGTTAGCCTTAAAGCAAGATACTTAACAGTCAAACCCTTGCTGTAGTGGAGTCAAATAGGACTCTCAGGTTTCCAAGGCTGAAATCCACATAAGCAGACTGCCACATCTTTTCCCTATGGAGCAGCTGGGGCATTCCAACCAACCACCGACCTTCCAGTTGTCAGTCAAGCACATAGCCTCTGTGCCAGCAGGACTCCTATAACAAGACAGGCATTTCTTTTACACATAAAGAGGTAGATAGTCTAAGATGTGTGACAATTCATGCTACAAGATCCTCAGGTCTTTAGAGCCTGCTTCCCCCAGTTTTCAGCTCCCCAATCCTTAGAGTACCAATTCCCATGGAGGCTGCTCTCCATGATCTCAAGAGCATCAGAGAACTATGCTCCCAAGAATTTTCAAGTCACTTTTTCAAAAGGAAATTGTCAAGCATTTCTTCTGAGGAACCTCTTGGTGGACTCAAAACTTCCAACCTTTCTTTTAGCAGCTGAATGTGTTCTGCACTACCTAAGGACTCTAATCCCTAGGGTAAGAACCCTAGGAGTTTCGATGAGTTCAAGCTCACTGAAACTTAAAGCTTGAGCTTTCCAAACCTCAAGGTAGAGGAAGGGATGAAGGATAACAGCTGTCTTGGAGGGGATTCCCTGGAAGCTAACATCCAGCTCAACTTCAGTCCAACTAGTTGTAACTTAGTTCCATAGTGAATACCTAGCTTTGAGTGAGGCTTGTAAAAGTGATCTTTATTCCACACAGCAAAATAGCAGTCTCTGAGCAGGTGAAACCATGTTAGATTGTGATAAACAGCTTGTACCAGCCATTCGCTGCACTAAAATCTGGAGAGCCAATAGAGAATAAGACAGTAAAAGGATCAGTGCTTTCCACCCGAAGACCACCAGGCGCACACCTATAGTTAAACAAAGATGGGATTAAGCTGTTGCATAGGTAATCATGAGGCATCTAATTAAGATGATTAAGATTCTACCACCCATTTGCTAGTGGAGGCTTGCTATGGTGCTGAACAGACCTCTGAAGCTTCCAGACTGAAACCACAAGGTTGGCGGTTCAGGCTCACCAGCAAGTCATCAGAAACCCTATACAGGGTCGCTATGGGTCAGAACCAACTCAACAGCACAACAGCAAACAATCTCCCTGCTAGAATGTAAACAAATAGTTTATGTATTTAATTCACTGTTCATTCAAGAGCCTAGAATAGTGCCTGGCATATCCCACTGTTGTTGAATCAGTTCTAACAGTGACCCAGTACAGGATTTCTAAGGAGCAGTTGGTAGGTATGAACTGCCAACCTTGTTGTTAGCAGTCCAGTCTTATTCTACAGTGCCAAGCTAGGGCACCAATACTCTCAATAAATATACTTGTTGAATGGATTAAATATTGCAAGTGCACACATGGATTAGTTGAGGTGGGGGAATGGAGAAAGAGGATGATCCAGTTTTGGCCCAAGTAATTGGATGAAAGATTTATGGTTTCCTGACAAGAGGAAGCCTGGAAGAAATGCTGATTTGAGGAGTAAAAGCAAGAGTTCAGTTTTGTATCTATTTGAGATGCTTACTAGATAGATAAGGAGTCTCGGTGGCACTGTAAACTAGATGTTCTACTGCTAACGTCAAGATGAGTGGCTCAAAACTACCAGCTGTTCGGTGGGGAAAAGGATAAGACTGTCTGCTTCCATAAAGAATTGCAACCTTGAGACTTTCTGCAAGATGCTGGACTAGGCAGGTGCACTACACAGAGCCTCTACAACAAAGATATGATAAATCAAATGAAACACACAGATGAAATGTCAGGAGCCCTGAACTTCAGAGGAAAGGTTAGAGAAGTGGATGGAGTGTTGGTTGAAAGGAGAAGCTGAGCAGGGAAGGTAAGAGAGGGAAGCTGACTTGTGAATGACCAGCCAGACATGGCATGACCATCTTGTGAGTAGTTTTAGCAACAGGTGCCCCGGCAGAGCAGATTCACACCGATGATGGGAAAAGTGCGATTCCTTCTTTTTTTCCCCCCAACACTTCTTTGGTAAACAGAGGGCTGGGCAGCTCCGACCCTCATCCATCCCTAGTGCAGACCCTGCTCTCCTGGAGTCTGGAGTCTTGTGGTTGAGAGCCACATCAATGTGAGGTGGGGGCCAGTTGTTCAACTTTGTTATGCTGTTTTGGTGCCTGGATTCAGGCAGGCTCTGCTTCAGGCCTACAAAACCTGGACAACCACCAGATTTAATCAGTCACCCAGCCCCCAGCTGCCTTGTGGTCCTAACAGACACTGAAACCAGCCCTATCAAGGGCCTCCATGAACTACTTCTGAATTGAGTGACCTGAACATAGACAACATCTAGGGCCAGAAACTCTACTGTCACATCCCTCCCTCACCCACCTCCTAAGCCTGACTGGCAGGAGCGCCCCCAGAGTTTTCTCCTCTCTGTATCTAACA